GAAAAAATAGGGCCGAGCTTGATTTGTGAATCACTCTGTATATTATGTATAACCGTGCTGAATTATAATTAAGTAATGATGCTCAATGCTTTCGTTATTGTACTACAAGTTTAGGTACAACTTTGCAATATTTCAATATTTATAAAATAGAGATTCATCATTCATACAAGGATTATTGATCGTTAATTATAACCTTGATTAGTATATGTTTTCTTTGAATTCGACGACACTGCAATGATATGAGGTAGACTTTTATTTTTATCATTATTTTTTGTTTTTATACCCATAAACTATATGACGTTATACTCGTAGTACCGACACAGCTCAGACTTGAATAGTCATTAGTCAATAATCGCTATAGGTATTCGATGTTTATTTGTTATAAAAATTTATAAACCTGTGTAGGTATCAACAGAACAAATGAGAGACTGTAGAACCACAATGAGGCAATTGCAGTTTTTCCCATGCGATTTAATATATAGTATATACTATAGTCTAAAGAGTTTAATATATAGATCAAAGATGCATTCTATAATGTGACCGCTTCATGTAAAAGTTTAAACATGCAGGTGGCTGGGTATTCTAAAGGGCTTAGTAATTTTTATTAGGTACCCATATAGTTTACGAAAAATGTATAGGTACACCTAAAAGTATAGGTAGATATCGGAAAAAGTGTAGACATATAATTCTCTAGTTTAAAATAATTCTTGCTATCTCTAATCGACAGAATAACAACATTAAAATATTTTTTATTATTGTTTTAATGTATTATTGCATTTATTATATTCAATATGTTATGTACATTGTAAATCGCGATCGGTCGTGAATCTCGGCGGCACGCAGAATTAAAACTCGTGGTGCACGTATTACATAATGTTGTTATTGTTAATCTCGTTGGTTTTTTATTTTATTTTTTTTTTTTTTTTACCTACAAGTGAGATAGTCAACAGTTTTTGTCGTAAACACAGTCAATGGATCGAATACTAACACATATTATTCTAATATAAATTATAGCGCATAAGAAATATTGAATATTTTAATAAATTATTGTATCAAAACTTATTACACTAATAAAACTATGATGTTATTATTAATTAAAATTATCGAGGCGGCGGCATTGTTATCATTATTATCATCGTCACCGCCGCCGCCGACGGATCGTCATCGGTGGATTAATTATTATCACATTATGCGCGCGCGCGCACCCGCACGTGACAACAACAACACGGTGCCGCAGCGCCGCGACCGCACCGATGACCAAGTGGCAAGTAGTCCAACCTCCAACACCGTAAACACTGAGCGCCGTCAGTACTCAGTCGTTGTCCGTATCCCGTTGTCGGTGGGTAGCACGCTGCACGCATCCATCCGTCGCCCGCGCTCCACTCGACTCGCGCCTCGCACAACGGTCCTCCTCCCCTCCCGCCGACATTCGAAGCCTGTGCCGTCTACGCGATCTACGGGCAAGATTTCGTCAGCTGTTATCGCCAGCGCGATCCGCGTTTTCTGGTGTGCTCGCCGTCGTACCCACCGCGAGTAGCGACGACCGCTCGCGTTCTCCCCGTTTTTCCACCGTGTCGGTTGTTCTCTCGTCGCGAAAACGGAGGTCCCAAACAACAACGATGTTGACGCCAACGGCGAGACGGCCAACGGAACGACATCGCTCACAGACGACGGTGCCGCGCTGCCCCAGGATGCGACTGAAACGCTTCGAGACGCGTTGGCGGAAGCGGTAAGCAGTGCTGAGCATTTGGTTTGATGAGTCCGCCGGGTGTCGTTGGTCTTTAGCGACCGGATAACGTTTTTCCGTCGCCCTCCCTCCTCAAATTTCGAAATAGCCGACGAAAATGCAATTTGACGAATTTTTTCGACTCTCGAATCTGCTCGTGGACGTATACAATTGACCGATTCGTACGCAACCGTATAACGCATAAGATATGGGGGAAAAAACCGTTGTTTAATGATCATTGATTTGTTAATGGTAGCCCGACTGAATTGATATCTACTAAATAGAGTTGACTAATAAAATGGGTTTGTTACACAGTTACTTTTCATTTCTGTCAATCCAACAACCATATAGTTTTTCAGTTTTTTATTTTTATTTTTATTTTTTTATCCTTGGTAATAGAACATAGAACGCGCTGCTTAGGCACTGCGATATTGGACAACAACAATAAGAATTTATCACATCTAGTATATTTTTCATATCATTATTATGTAATACTCAAACTATAGACTTATGCTTTGTTTAATAATTATGTACTCAACGTGACTTCAATATTAATATTAAATGGTACCTAATGGTTAGTATTGCTGTTTAAAATTAGTCTTAATTTAATCTTATTATCTTATTCCTGTGGGTGGCAAAATTTTTTCTTACTGAAAGTGTCTACTTTTCAATTAACACACTATAAAATCAAATCATTAAAAACTGTAATTTTTTAACATTATAGTTTTTAAATTTGTGGTTAATACTTATTTTTTACATTTTTAGGCAGAGATTGTAGTGGATCATGTAATATCAAACGCTAATAAGGTTTATGGATTGGATCATGTGACAAATATTATGAAATTTCATAGCACATACCTTGAGGCTTTTCTAAGTTTGCAAGAGTTTATAATTTATAGAGAAGGACCATTGCCTATTCAATATCGGCACTACATTGCAATCATGGTAAATAAATTATAATTACTTTGTATATCTTAACTATGAAGTTTTAAATCTCAATAATATAAAATTGAAAAATAATTTTTAATCAAGAATCTTTTGCAATAAAATTTAATGTTTATATTTTTTTTTTATTGTAAAATTATTTTTTTTTTTAGGCAGCTGGTCGGCACAAGTGTACGTATTTAATAAATTTTCATAAAAAACAATTTTTGGAACATAATGGCGATCCTAGTTGGTTGTTTGGTCTCTCACATGTGCCACGTAAACTTCGTAATTTATATGAAATCAACAAGATTTTAGCTCATCGACCTTGGCTAGTAACAAAAGAAGATATCCAAGTATGTATTTAAATTAAATATTAGAATAAATAAATTATTCTCTGTTTTTGTTGCTTCAATTGATGATATAATTTTACTTTAAATTACCTATCTATGTATTACCTATATATTTATATATTTACCGATTGAGACAAATATGTTGTTGCAATGAAATATATAAATTTTATTTTTAAACCATGTAGATTAAATGTAATCAACAAAAATTGAAATTATGATACTAATATTATAACTTATCTGCTAACTTATCTTTAGGTGGTTATAGACATACATTTTAAAATGTATCAGCATATTTTTAACATAAAAAAAATGTATCAATATGTGTTTAATATTTATATCAAGTGTGTAAAGTAATAATTATAATTTGTTCAATATATTGTGATGTATTAAAGTGGATGAAAGGTATCTCAATAATACATTTCTTTGTTATCAAAGTTAAGTTTAAAATATTTATACTGTCCACATTATGTGATACCTCTATTATAATTTGACCACTGATAATTGTTGTTATTGAAAATCAATTTATTTCACCTACCAATAAAATATAGGTAATCAACTATAGAATAATGCTGTATTTTAAAATAATAATTTTTTTTTTTTTTAATTAATTCATACACTGGTGTTTCTAAGACATTAGTTAGGTGACAATTTTATAACCTTATAATTGGAATATTTTATAAGAATATGAATTTCTATGATATAAATTAAAATAGTGTTCAGCACTTGAAATTTTGTTTAATGTCTGATACATATATTTAGTATCAAAATTTTAAGAATATTTGAATAAATGGTCATTGTATAGATTACATAATATAGATCTTTATAAATAATTAATTATTAAAGATAATTTTCAAATTATAATAATTCAAAAGTTAAATAATATTTTTTGACCTATTTTGATGTTTTATGACAACTATTTTTATGTCTTACTATGTATGTTGACAATATTTTTCTTGTAAAAAAAAAAAATAAATTTATTCATGATAAATGATAATGAATTAAATAATTGAAGTTTCTATTCAATTGTATAATATTTAGTGCCAATAAAAAAAAATGTATTGTAATTAACATTTATACTAAGGGTATTTATGATTTTTTTTATTTTATTATGTTAAAACTTGTTACTTATTAATTTAAATAAAGTGTTTATATAATAAACATAGGTATTTTTAATTTTTATAAGTTATTATTAATATCACATTGAATATTTATTTTTAGTATTAATTCACTTTTTATAATGTGATATAAAAAATGTGTAACTTATTTTATTTTATATTTATAGTAATACATATTATGCCAGTTAAATGATAAATAAATGCTTAACTATAATTTACTATTAGTTTTATATATTTTATAATAATTAACTATAAAGTAATACTGGTTTTAACATACAAGGAAACTTTTAAAGTGTTTAATTTTTTTATTTATAGAAAGTCGTCAAAGGTCCAAACTCATGGTCATTGTCAGATTTAGGACATGCTATTATATTACTTGTTCATTTTCATAGTTTGTGTAGCTTTGTATTTGCTTGTAACTTAAATGATGAGATACCACGAGCTGTAAAAGTATCTGGTGTTTACTTTAGACGTAGAAGCAAACCATGCTTAAGAGGTATTTAATATATCAAGACTTTATAATTAATACATCTAATGTTTTCCATGTATATGTTAATTAAAATTAATAAGTTACACCACTTTTGAACCAAAATAAACCTTTTATAATATTATTTACTAATTACTCTCTATTAAAAACAAAAAATTATCTAGGTTATGCTGATGAAAGCGTTATATCTGACGACGAAGGTCTTGAACCGATAGTGGAACGAATGAAAAAGCTAAGTGAACCAGCCACAGAACAAGAACGTATACAGAGATATGAACTTGTTCAGAGTCAATTATGTGACAGTGATACTTCTGCTGATAATGGTTTAAATCCAGATATTAAACCATTTGTTGAAGATTCTGGATATTCTTATTTAGATTGCTCACGTCGACAATTTGCTCAACAATCTTCATTTATTTTGCAGGTATTTAAAATAATTTTAAATTAAAAGTAGTATGTAATGTTTATGCAATGCAAATAATATCTTATTACATTTAATGTGTTATTAGAACTTTTTTTAACCTGAACATTAGAATTGTTTAAATATAAGATTTACCCTTTTTTTAACTAATTAAGTCATTCAAGGAATAAAAATAATATTCTAATGTACAGTTATTTACCTGAGCATCTATTGTGATCATAACATCTGATAGACTTGACCATTTTGAATAAAATTTATATCAATAGATTCTTGGAGTTTGAAGATGTTTATAATTTATTTTTTCAATCTCTAGATTACTTATTGAGTGGCTAACTCGTGGATTTAGTTTTGGCTAACAAAAAACAAGTATATTTTTATTTATTTAAATGGTTACAATTTGTTATAGATTTATTACTATTATAATAAGTAAAAATATGGCATATAAAAATATTCACTTAGGTACATTATTTAAAAAAAAAAATAAATAAATCTTAAAATCAAATATTCATAAAAACAATTGCAATGATTACTTATATGATTTGCAATCATGATTGTTTATTTAACTCTGGACATATTTTTGATGTAAATACATAAAGACCATTACAAATCTTGTCTATCAAAGAATATTGAATTTTATTCCACTATTTTGTATTTACATTTAAAATTTGTTTGAGATTAAAAAGAGGAAAATCATAAAATTATTTATTGTAATTAGTGTCTGTATTATATGTTTCAACTGAAACAAAACAAAAAATTATTAATTTTAACCAAGGCTAAGTTGAATAATGTTGTTTATTATTAATTCGTTTTTTTCTAATAGAATTTAACACTAAAAATATTATAAATTGACTCTATCCAGCGAGAGAACACTCCGATTATGTGCACCTCCACTCAACACCCTACCATAGAGAATGGTTCCATTATAGTAGGGTGTCACGTGTGAATGTGTAGAAGATTCAATTTTTGGCAAGCCACAGTGTTTCTCGCTGGACAGAGTATAGTATTTAATGGTATCAATTCTTATAATTGTTCCTATTTTCAGGAATTTTCTTGGAATCATCATGGTTATTCATTAATTAACCGTTTATTTAATGACATTGGATTAATATTGGATAAAAAGTTCCAAACTGCTTACAACATGACATATTATACAATGGGTGGTCGCCCTGATATTGATACTTCAAGGTTCCGTGAAGCAATTTGGAATTATATTTATTGTATTTACGGAATGAGAAATGATGATTATGATTATGAAGATGTTACACAGTTGCTTCGATCTCAATTGAGAGTGTTTATCAAGACTGCTGTTTGTTACCCAGAACGTTTGAACAAAATAACTACTGATAATACACTTAAACATTTTGAATTAAGCGAAAAGGTAACATTAAAACACAATTTATAATAATTTGTATTATAAATCTAATTATAAACAGTTTTAATTATTTACTTAAATCATAAGCATGTACACAAATATGAATACATTAGTAGAATGCTTTTAAATTTTCTAGAAAGTTATATAAGATTAATACAACACTTCTTGTTATTTATTCCACACGCTAACTCTGAAAAGTTTGCTCCTAACTAGCATTCATTGTATCTATTTTAATCTCATAAAAAATGAGTTTAGTTAGGTAGGTATATTGTTATAATTCTACTGTTGTTAAGAACTTGAATTTTTTTGTTATTACATGTATTATTATTTTCTTTGTATACTAAAATTTTTAAAATATTAGATTTTTATTTTATTTTTAACTTATCTACTACTCCACAGTGGCCACAGAGTCCCCTATTTTTTTATTTTATTAATACAATAAACAAAATTTATTTAGAAATTACTACTTCCAGTTGCTGTAAAACATTTTAAACCCAGTTAGTTATTTTCTACAAATAGGCTGATACCTGATCATCCTGATTTATGACTGAATCGTGTAAAATGTAATGTTATAATTTATCTAATGATATATCCTTCCTCTACAATTGTGCTCATAACATTGTTTATCTCATTAATAGCCTTAGAATTTACCTAGTGTCTTCCTTAGCGTTTGTTCATTAAATTAATATTATCATTGCTAAATATATCGATGTGAATGAATTCCATCAAATATTATACTAAAATGTTTTATTCTTTCAATTGTTTACTCACGCTTTATTTGATTGGCCAAAGATCAGCTAAGAATCGAACTTATCCATGACTGTGCCAACAAGGTAACATTAATATCTACATTGTAGCAGAGCAACTCTCCTCATTTTTTTTATTTATAAAATTTATTAAAATAAAAGTTTTACTTGTGATGTATTGTATGTACTTATATTTTGTTTCAAATGTTTCAGATTCATATAAATTTAATGATTATGGAAGCACGAATGCAGTCTGAACTTTTATTTGTATTGCGGGCTGTCATGAATTACATGTTATGATATACAGTAACCACTTACATATATATTTTTTAAAACATGTTATACTTTTTTTTTTGTTATAATTTATCAACATGTATACAATTTTGGTTATACGATTTTTACTTGAAGGGAAATCATGATTTGTTCTCATATTTTACTTTGCTTAACTTTTGTATTAGCTTAATTTAATCTATTTATTTCAATTCACAACATTTGCCGACATTCTTTATATTATCATTGTTTTTACAAATTTGTATTTTATATTAACTGAATATTCAATATTTTATAATTATATTTTAATGTGATACTTTAATTTTATACCGACATTATATCATTTATAAAAATATATATATATCAATTAGTATTGCCGTATTGGATACTATAATTCATATTTTTTTACAAATACTAAACAATGTTTACAGTCATAATTATTGAACTCAACACTATTTTACGATTTATGTTTTGTTTTCATTTATACATGTTTGTTTGTATATTTTATTTTTATTCTTGAATATAATACATATATATATTTTTTTTTTATGAAATTAGTACAAATTTTAGAAATGTTAATCAAACTAATAATTGTTATCTACATACAATTTAAAAACAAGTTATACGTTTAATAAAGTCAAGAACAAGAACAAAGTTTAAACATTTGATCATCGTTATTGGTAATCAATTAATAATATTTATTTTTGATGTGTTTATTAAAAATAAAATAATGACAAGTTTAAAATTATTCATTTATTGCCCATCCCTTAGTAATGTATTATCTTTTTTGAAATAGTCGACGGCAACCGTTGTACCTGAATGTCGTTTGACGACAGATTTGCACGTTCGGAATCTAACCGGGCAACCGCCTAACCGTATGCATTGGTTTTGTGTCGATCAAATTCAGAGGTCAGGCTACACATTTATACATCTCAACAGATAAAACAAAACGTGTATTGATCGACCGGGGGTAACAGTGTGAGAAAAAATTTCAAGTCAAATTATATCACACTCACAGCTGATGTGACAAATTCTTTATATTACACATATATTAATAATAATTGTCAACAAATAAATGGGCGCTGCGCTGGCCCGCAAACGGGGTCGTCTAAAAAACGTCGTCGTCGTCGCCATGTCCCAGGAGGATCTCGTCAAACGGTCAACACGTCGTAACCGCTATCGGTGATCAGTATGGTGTGTTCGAATTGAGCGCCCCTGGAATCGTCGACCGTCACTATGGTCCACCCGTCTCCCAACATCTCCACGTCGCCGCTGCCCTGGCAGATCACCGGCTCCACGGTGAACACCATGCCCGGTTTCATGACGCCCGGATATCCGTGCAGGGTGGAGTGGAAGATGACGGGAGGCCCGTGGAAGTACGTGCCGATGCCGTGGCCCGTGATGCTGGACACGACGCTGAGGCCGTGTCGGCGGGCGAACAACTCGACGGCTTTGCCGATGTCCGCGAACCCTTTGCCCGGGCCGCAGGCCCGCATGCCCTCGAGCGTGCACCGCTCGGCCACGGTCGTCAGCTCCACGCCGCGGTCGTCCACGTCGCCCACGCAATAGGTGGCGGCGCAGTCGCCGTGGAAGCCGTTCAGGTACACCGACACGTCGACGGACACGAGGTCGCCGTCGAGCAGCGGCCGGTCGTCGGGCACCCCGTGACACACCACGTTGTTCACCGACGTGCAGACGGACTTCCTGAACCCTCTGTAGTTCAGCGGCGACGGGTACGCGCCGTTGTCGACGATCAGGTCGTGGACGAACCGGTCCACGTCGTCGGTGGTCGCGCCGGCCGTCAGCCGGCCCGCGGCGCTGTCCAACACGAACTTGGCGAGCTTGCAGCTCTGCCGGATCAACTCGATCTGGCCCCGGCCGTGGATTCGGCGGCAGTCGTGCGCGGGGTTCCTCGGTTTCGGTTGGCCGGTGGCCGCAGTGGCGGCCGCGCGACGCACTCACGCCCGTCCTCGGTTCGCTGACCTCGCCCAAGTCCCACCACGTCGTACGCCCCGAAACTGTTGGCCCGAACTTGGTCCATTAGAGCAATACGTAACTGAACGAAGTACACCGCG